ATATATATATATATATATATATATATATATATATATATGTGGTGGTGTGTGTGTGTGTGTGTGTGTGTGTGTAACCTCTAGTAAAGTAGGAGTTGGGTTTAGGTTTTGGGTAGGATTAGGGATGTGGAATAAGATCATACTTCATAACTACAAATGTACAGTTAATATCTAAATAATAGGCATGTAATAAGCCAGTAGTTTATAGCATGAATTGTGACCTAAACTAAAGTGTTATCTTCAAAAGGAATGAACTGAATAAAATACAGAATTAAACTCACAGAATCTGAGTAGACCTCACAGAATTAAAGTAGACACAATCTAATAGAACAGGGGCCTGTTTCAGAAAGGAGGTTAAGTGAAAACTCAGAGTATTTTAACCCTGAAATGAGAGAAATTCTGGGTTTTCCGTTTCAAAATGGCAGGTTTGTTAAACTCAAGAAAGCAGGGTAAGTCAAGCCTGTTTCTGAAAGAAAGGCAACTTTAACCCCGAGTCAGTTACTGTGGTAACTTACTCTGTGAATCTAACCTGGTCCGGAGCAGGTTTTATTCTCTAAACTCTGAGTTTCTGTCGGTCTCCTCCCCTTTTTTTAAAGATGAAGCGTATTTCTCGCCTTAGCCTTACATTTCCACACACATATTTTAGAGCTCATTTTGGAGATGCCCATAAAAACGATTGATGGAAACGTCATGATTCACATAACTTTTGAAAATATGCATAATAAAACATGTGCATAACTGAGTAGGTTAAACTTTTATTTGATAAAAAAAGATGTGCGCATAAACTACGAAGTGCACTTAACAAATTACAGTATGTACATTAAAAAAAAGGTTTGTTAGAGATGATGATGAAAATGTGTGTGAATGGACAAACCAGCAGACTGAGCACACTGTAGAACATCTTAAATGTTGTTTTAGTCATTCTAAAATGCCTTAACTGTTTCAGTATTAGTGTATATGGTTAATTACCTCCGAGCGTCAGGAGCTTGTCAAGAGTCTCCGCGTCTGGCTTCAAACGCCCCCACGTGTTCATTGTGTTTCAATTGTCTTCTGAGGCGCAAGTCTTAAATAAAAAATAATTGACGCAGCTTGTTCTACCGCAGTAAATTCTGTTTTTTACTGTTGATATTTGGCGCAAGTTAATCAGGAAGTGACGATTGTGTTCTCTTTGACTCGTTGGATAAAAATGCTGCTTCATCTTTTAGGCGTTATTCCAGTTTTGCACAAATTTATGTAATATATTTGGATGGAAACACAGCTATTGCCTACATTTTTGTCACACACAGAACAAAGTCACGTACGAGGCTTGTCCTTTTTTCCATTTAGCTTAACCTTCGACATGTACTGTTACTAGATTAATTGGATTATTATTCTGTCTAAAAATTATTTTTAGCACTGCTTACCATCTTAATGTTATATCAACCTCTATCACTTGATCAATAAAAAGGCAGACATACAAGTGCACTGTTAAATCTATTAAAACTGATAAACGTATATAAAAGTTTAGAAAAAAAGTATAAACGTCACACATTACATTACTTATTTTATTATACTTAAATGTTTAAATACTTTAAATGTAAAATTACGCATTAACTTGAGCAGCTGTTTTCCCACGCTAACTGTCTCTGTTTCATTGATGGTTGCTTCTTTTTAAATATATACACTCATATTTGCTATAACTTTGCATGAGCAGATCAAGTTCAGCTGGGGAAAGAAATGGTGATCTCCTTTTTAAGATGTTGCCATGGTCACTCGTAATGTCTGCGCTCCATTGATAATGCCTTTTTATAGTCACGGTGTGCGCGCTTAACTCTGAGTTGGTCTACTCAAAGTTGATTGACCTAACTCAGATCAGCTATTCTGAAACCGAAAACTCAGAGTTTTTAATCTCTCGGTAAATCAACTCAGAGTTCAAGTTTAAACTCCGAGTTGTTTGAACCTCCTTACTGAAACAGGCCCCAGGTCTTATAGTTAAACTGCTTTTGAAGAGAGAATTCTAATCCTTTAGTAAGTACATGTAATTAATTCATATTACTCGGTAGATAAATCAATAATTACACCATAACTATAACAATAATATCAATAACAAATTCAGGGTCAAAACAGAAACTGACTATTCTTTGTACACTTGGCCGAAAATTGAAAATGCTTTGTAATAATTATTTATTATTTTTTAATGTAACTGCATTTTATTGACAGTAACATTTTATTTCATGTTTAACAATTCAACAGGCGTCATTTTACCAATGTTGCCGTGACAGCACAGTAGAGCAATTAAAGCAGCAGGAAAAAGTACACTACATAGAAATGTCCTGTTGTTGTGTTATTTGAGTGAACTTTTCCGTTGAGCATGTGATAAATATAATTATAGAGTTCATCAGTTCTATTATGAACTCTGACTGTGTGCAAGCTAGTCAACAGTACACTCCACTGATCTGTTAGTGCAGCAACAACCCAAATGTAAGCCATGAAAAGGTTTCATAGCGCATTGCTTTCTGTGCTTTCTGTGTCCAGCTGATTCAGAGCGAAACCAGATTGCTGAACACTGCTTTACATTGCAGGTTAGAATTGCTTTTTTATTCGGCTCATATTTTCATCTGAAACCTGGCTGATATTTGGAGGATCTCTAATAATAATAATAATAATAATAATAATAATAATAATAATAATAATAATAATAATAACAACATCCAAATATTGTTGGGGATATATTTTAATATTGAAACTTGATTTTGCTGAGTGCATTTTTGTGCTGGTACCTTTAGGCCAGTCATGGATAATAATCATAAATATGAAACTAAAATGGCCAGTAGACTGCAGCAAGTCCCTATCTTAATAATCGATTGAGTAAATCAAATGATCCGTTTGAACCCAGATTCAACAACTGTAATAGTATGCGTATATATATATATATATATATATATATATATATATATACACACACACACACACACACACACACACACACACACACACACACACACACACACACACACACACACACACACACACACACACACACACACACACACACACACACACACACACACACACACACACACACACACACACACACACACTTACCAGGTCAGCAGAAACAGCTGTTGTGATGAGAGCATATGGTCCATTGACTAAACCACCACATACCAGAAGCATACCTTTAAAATAAACCAAAAAAGTCACATTTTAACTATCATTCTATGAATCATTGGTGTTTTTTTTACTACATTATATTTTAGATAAAATCAGCATTTGCCCATCAAAGACTAATTTATTTCTGCATGCATTTTAACATACAAACACTAAAAAATTTACACTGTAAAAAAAGCTGGGTTTTACACAATTCCTTCAAGTGATTCCAACACAAATGGATTAAGTTAACTTGTTTTTACAAATTTAAGTGGATTGAACATAATACAATTAAGTTGTCCCCCCCAAAAATCTCAGGATTATTGTTGACTCAGCTCTTTATAAATAAGTATAAATAAGTTAAACAAGTAGCAAAAATCTTTTTTGAGAGCATCTTGGAATGTAAAGAAAGGTGCAGTGACAGTCTTTTGGTTTAATTATATAAGACCACTCAAACAAAAAAGTATATATTTTTTCTAGTTAAAAAATATAAGAAAAAAAACTATTTTATCAATTACTTTATTTAATTGTTATACATATTATTTCATTCATCTTTTTACATAATAGAGTTATGTGCATTATAGAATTAAGATAAATAATTAAATACAAATATAAAACAGTAAATATCAGTTAATCTCATTAATTCTCCAAACTGGATTAAAGCAACACTGGTCAATCACTCCTAAGGTCGGGATGCACATATATGATGGTTTGGCTGTCAGTGAGCGTTTGTCAGGATGGTTTAATTTGTGCATTGTACACATAACCTGTCATAGGTCTCACATTGGAGGAAGCTAAATCTGCATGCCTGATTGGCTGTTCACTTGCAAACTAGAGTGCAAGAACAAAAATTGTGAGAAAACTAAACCAATGATGCAAGTCAAGTAGGAACACACAGAAGCTGGCTGACATTTAATATATATTTGCAAACAATAGAGAATATCAGACTTTCAGACATATTTGCATGAGCAAGCCAAAAAAAATAAAAATAAAAAAAACTGTAGAAATGATTTGTAAATTCTGCTTAATATGTGTGCAGCACTAGTTCTGGGTTTATTTTTGCAATAACAATACAGACACTGCCTCTGCTGGAAAGAAAAGATACAGCCTCATGCAGGAACCGAAGACGCTGTAGTGTTATTCTTTTGGTGTGTTCACAACATGCAACTCTTTGGTCCAGACAGGACCACTCACAGCCGGCTTAAGGCGACAACACAGGCTGTTTTTATCTATGTTGGTTGTGTGATGTTTGTGTGTCCTGGGCTTTACGTTATTCTGAAATGTAACAGTAAGATTGAATGTCTTACCAATAGTGGGACCCAGGCCAAACTGACTCATCATAGAGAAGCCGTAGAGCTTTTAACAAAACAAACAAACTACAGTCAACAGTGAAAAAAAAAAGTGACATAGCAAAAGCCTTGCTCAATCTTATGTATAAATGTTTTACCATAGGTGCTGCCAGCAAAAGCATAACAGCACAAGTGGTGGCCCTCTTGTGCATCTTATCAGAGATCACGCCAGCGAGAATCCCTCCTACACACACACAGAATTCTCAGAGGCTGTTCGCACAAACCACATTTTTGCATTCCTCAATTATGCTTTCAGAAAATGTAAAACAAAAAAAATGGAAGCAAAATAAAAATTGAATGAAAAAATAAATAAATAAAAACAAAATAAATAAACAAACAAAAAAATAATAAAAATAAAAATATATGATTAAAAAATTTAATCATAAAATTAATGAATGAATTATAAAATAAACATTTAAAAAACTAAAGAAATAAACAATAACAAACAAAATAAATAATAATAAACTAGATAAATAATATTTATATAATTAAATAAACAATAATAAATAAAATTAATAATAATAAAAATAAGTAATTAATAATGATAAAATAAATAAATAATAAAACACATAAATAATAAAAAAACAAAATTAAATACTAAAAAAATAATGAAATAAATAATAATAAAATAAATAAATAGCTAAATCAATTTAAACTATCTTGAAAATGTTTATTCAATTTAATGTATCCTCTCTCAATACAACAATTAATTTACTAGACAAACATCTTACTGGCCCTAATTTTTTCTCTCTCAATGGTAGCGTTAATGCAGTATTTGCATGATTAGCTGCTGGCAGGGCTGTTTTATTTAAATAGAATATGAAATAAAAAATGAAAATGAAATGAAAGTAGAAAGAGTGCCAGGCAAGTCAAAGTCAAGCGGTGTTAGATTTATTAGACAGAGAAGGTCACATTAAATCAAGAAACCCCCCACTGAACAGTGTGCATGTATACCACAAATACTAAACACACAGTCCTGACAGCTCTACATACCTACGATGCCTCCCACATCAAACAGAGTTGAAAGGTCTCCGGCTTTCTTGGCATCTAAGTGAGCTGAGAAACAGGAAATACATCATTGTCACTGTGCTATATTAACCAACATAACACGCACACACACACGCCCACGCTCACACACGCTCAAACTCACACGTACACACACATACACACACACACGCTCACGCTCACGCACACACACACACACACACACACACACACACACACACACACACACACACACACACACACACACACACACACACACACGCACACACGCACACACACGCACGCGCGCGCGCGCACGCACGCACGCACGCACGCACACACACACACGCTCACGCTCATACGCACACGCTCACGCACACACACACGCAAATATATTCACAGTACACTTCTCTAAATGTCTGCATGCGATAGCATCTTTATTTAGAGAACGCAGGAACTGGTAATCAACTTACATCAGGAGAACTACAGGATTATAATGTTTGTTTAGTCAATAATGACAGAATGACTTTAAAGAGAAATCCTGTAATCGCTGATATATTAAGGTCAGGGTTCACAGTGTGTTTTACCTGCTTTAGTGATGTACAGGGGAAGCCAGAAAAGGAAGGTGTAGCTGACCAGCTTTGCGAACAGCAGACAAAGAGAAAACTCCACCACTCCCTGCAGACACATTCCAGGACAAACTTCAGTACTTCATAATCATTTCATTTTTCTTCGGCTTAATCCCCTTATTAGTGAGGGGTTGTCACAGTGGAATAAACTGCCAACTTATGCAGCATACATTTTACACAGCAGATGCCCTTCCAGCTGAAAACCACTACCCATTGACTTCCTTGGTATTTGCTTTACCTACTGTGGAAATTAATGGTTACCCATTTGTAACATTTATCAAAATATCTCGTTTTGTGTTTAACAGAAAAAAAAAAAAAAATCATTAAGGTTTATAACCACAAAAAGGGAAAAGTAAATGGCGAGATAATTTTCTTTTTTGGGTAAACTATCCTTTTAAATGTAGATAATTCTTTGTCTATGAACTACACTAAAATAAGATTGAGCTTTTTATATATGCATTTACTGTATTTCAGTTAATGTTTGTATAATTTGAAGTATTCTGGTTTTACTTTTATTCAACTATTATTGAGGTAGTTTATTTGAACCCTAACTGTCCAATCTAGGAGTGTCTGAAGCAATTCAAAAAATATTTGTATACAATGAACAGCTGTTTTCATAATTATTAAATATTTTAAATATTTTATTTAAAGGCAAAATTATTACCTCCTGTGATAAAAGCAATGACTTTCAAACTACTTTTGTTATATGTAATTTTTCTTCAGGATAAAGTGTCATTTCATTTAGTCTAGCTATAGCATATAAGCAGTTTTTAAATATTTTATAATAATTTTAAGGTCAATATTATTTGTGCCCTTTCATTTTCGATTGGCTACAGAACAAACCACCATTTTCCAATAACTTGCCTAATTAACCTAACTTTTCTAGTTAACCTAAGTAACATAGGTTATTCTTTGAACAGCACTTTAAGCTAAATACTAATATCTTGTAAAACAATAATAAAAAAAATTAACACTGTCAACACAGCAAACACATTTTTTCATAATTATTTTTAAAAAAGTTGTTAATAAAAATATTATTTTGAAAAATGTTTTAAAACAAATTCTCTTTTTTAAACATCACTTGGGATATATTTGAAAAAGAACGACAATTTTTCAGGAAGGCTAATCATTCTGCCTTTAAATATATGTGATTTCAACAGAGATCTTATTATAAAAGGTCTGTGGTATAAATCACAGTGAATAATTCTTCAACTCATTAAGAAGACTTATATTCAAGTGTTCATGCCTTTTGTTTAGTTTTTTTTCCTATTGGTCAGTCTATTTCAGGCCTCCAATTTAATCAGAAATGTCCTTCAGATGGATTGAGGTGTTGACATGAAAGATGTTCAAACTTTGGTAATGTGTGTACATGTAAACGTAGATTTTAGTTGACATTAACCACCTTTACACTATCAAGCTGAACGATTCTAAGAACATTCATGTACGGTTCACGGTACACTTGTAGTTCCACATGAGCCTGGTATGTTAGACAAATAATGCTGAGTCATGCTGGAAAAGTGAGTTTGCGGTGGCCACTCTAATAATTGCCTTTGTTTGAAACCGCATACTTACTATACAGTACGCTAAAATCAGTATGCGAGGCGGGTAGTATGTCCGAATTCATAGAATTCGAAAAACAGTATGCGAAAAGTACCCTGAAGACTTACTACTTCCGGCGAGATTCTAAAGTGCGCATCTCATGCATGCTGCGCTATCCCATGATGCCCCGCGAGAGAATTCATGAATGGGAACGAAGCGACGCAACTGACGCAGGTAGGACACGTGACCATGATAAAATGGCGGATGTTGTATGTCCGAATTCCATTCATACTGTTCACATTCATACTGCATAAAGCGTACTTTTCTAATGGCCGAGTAGAATGTTTAAATTCAAATGCAGTATCTACTGAGTAGTAGTAAGTCTCTTTTGTCCCTTGAGTGTGTACAAATATTTTTTTTAATTCTTTGAAACTGGTCCTTTTAGGCTTTGATCCAAATTGCGCCATTTGATGACGGTTGCTTTAAATTTAAATTTATTGTGCTTTTCAAATTTAAATGAAATTGTGCTCTTTTCAAAAGAGGGCAGAGCTCCAAATGCCTATGCATCAGCAAAGGTGCAGATTCAAAACAAGCCTAACGCTATCTCTGTGAAAAACTGAAAAAGTCAAAGAAAGTGTCTCAGTCTATGGAGAATATGTGGTTTACTTGTGCATCCTAAAACTCCACATCTATAATCCATTTGGTCACTGACGTTATCTTCAGCAGGTATGTTGTGAAAACTCTAATAACGGACGGTTGCTTATTAGTCAGAGCTGTTTATGCTAATAAGATCGTAACTAATGGGAGGGCTTTCGCCTTTCAATGACATGGACAAAGGGAGAATGTCAATCAAAGTGTTTATGTTTATATTATGTGTGATTATTAAAAAAATAGATAACTATTAGAGGCTGGCTACATTCACACACTGTTGCCAACTGTGCTTTTAAATCATTATTGCATAATAGGTCCCCTTTTAATCTAATATTATTTTTAAAAGATGTCTGTATATGTATATATTTTTTTACTTCTATAACATATGCTTTCTCTGCAAGCAATTTTGACTGACAGGTCTAGCAGCTTTTCTTTACCCATGGAGCAAATATTTTTAAAATAACTTGGAAGGAATTTTTTCTATATCCTTGGCTTGTACTGCAAACGTCTCGAGTCATCTGCAGGTCACTCCACAGGTCTCAAATAACATTAATTTCAAAGAGCTCCATTGAATTAACCAGATGACAGCCAGTTGATAGGTTCATCTATACTGATAATCATTCCAAAGAGCTCCACTATTACAACACCGTAACAAAATGAAACTGTATCAATAGCCGCATTTCCACTGTCGGGCCAGTGCGAGCCAGGGCTTTAATCGGGCCGGGCGGGCTGGGCCAATCGCCCGGGAGGTTGAGCAGTGAGGCCGAAATCATGTTGCGTTTCCACAGTGAGGCTAGTAGCTTGCAGCGCGTCACGCAAACCCCACCCCCAGAACGTCCCCCGAATTCCAAACGTCACACAACCCACCCACTTCAGCGGGAATCAGGCAGATAATGCACACCATCACATCATAACGAAACCATTCAAATAAAGACAACCGAAACAAACAAATGACCCATTACTGTTCAGCATTACATTATATGTCTATACGCACGGGTCTGTGTGTTCTCATTCATCATATTCATTTACTCGCCGACCGACTGTTGGCATAGAAATCGAGTGGTCTCGCCAGCTCAGTGAGCGCACCATCCATAATATAACACCACAGAAATTCTCTGTTAATAAAGATAAAAAAATTAAAAGGAAAAAGAAAATGTGTTTTATAACATCCTTGTTTAGATAGACGCTGTCTAACATTCAGCCCAAATGCTCCGGAGAGACCTGAAACATTAATTTTTCACTATAGGCTATATGACACTTAATAGGTGATTCCCCTTTATTTAAAGATATTTAAGGAAAGTGTTAAGTATTTTAGCACATACGAGCAAGTAACAATATATAGCCTATGTTTCGTTGCGCTCAGTGGCTATCCACTAATAAAGCTCTTCATGTATTAAAGAAAAAAAGATAGCCTAACCTACAGAAAAAAGGTCTCCTAGATTCTGCTTTCACTCACCCAAAAAATGCTCTGTTTGCATGATTTGATTAATATCATTGTTTCTAAATACTTAATAAATAATATTTTAAACCTTCTTAGGTGTTTATTGTTTTTAGAAAATATTTAAAATCTTTTTTTTTTTTTTCAGATAGGGCTTTGTAAAATGAAAGTTTATTATGACTTTAAAACGGTTTGATGTATGTAGGCTATTGTATATACCTGAATAGGTTTAGCTTTTGTTTTGGTTTATTTATTTAATGCGATTTTATTATCCAATAATTGTTATTCTTTAAATTATTTCAATATAGCTTAGGCTATTTTATGAAGATATGACACTATTGTTTTGAGCTACAAACGTGGACATGAAATTTGTAAAGTTTTATGTCTTTCTGTTGTATTCATATTGTGTATTATCTCCAAAATAAATAACAAAAAGAAAAAAGCAGCGCGGCATGAACAGAGCTGTGAAGGGAGTGCACTTTTCCTCGGTCTCACACACACATACAGGCATCTAAATGTGCACAAACACACCTTTTAAACTTGACAAAAACTCTTGAAAACCTTTACTGTCTGATGTGTCTTTAATATGGTGTAAAGATTATGCGTTATTTAAAAGTCACTTATAAATTAAAACTTTATTATTTTATGCAACAGCCTTACATTTAAAAGGGAAACATAAGGGCGATCAAACGCAAAAAGACCCCAGCCTATAAGGCTAGATGTTTTTTTTCCCTCATTAATTTATTTGTTTGGCACATGTACTCGTGTGCGATCGGAAAGCTGTCCACACTCTGCCTCTCCTTTCACTCTGCCCTGAAGCCCCAATTGGCTTTCTTTGGCCCAAGGTATTCGGCGGGCCGAAAAAGGCTGGCCGCTGGGCCCAAGAAAGCTCAGATTTGGCCCGATTAGGCCCCAGAAGTGATAGTGGAAACGCCACTGGCCTTGGCTCGCCCTTGCTCGCTCGCTTTAGGAGCGATAGTGGAAACGCAACCAATGCTGACTGGATGGTTAAGCAAAAAAGTGTAAAAGTAGCAACTGAATTTGTCTGATGGCACTCACAGGAATGCGTAAAGCTCCCATGAAGCTTATAGCGGATGGTTCTGCTTCACTTTTCACCACCACCACCTGCTGCACAGGAACACACACTCCAATGCTCTCCTGACCCAGCAGGAGCTCTGTGTCCCAGCTCTGAATAAACACAAGACAGGCCGACAATTAGAGATAGCACAGAACACTATAAAGAAGAGAAACAGAGATTAAAACGCAATGACAAACCTGTGCTTTAGCTCCTGGCTTGTACTGCAGGTAAAGGTCTTTGTGTCCATTCACACCATTGCAGCTTTTATGAAATTTCTGAAAGAAAACATTCAATGATTTTAGAGTTATGTAGCTGGATATACATCCTAACATGAAGCAAATCTTTCGAAAGTTTGCAAAAATGAAATTAAATCCCAAATGTGAATTAGGCGTGCTTTCACCAAGTTGTTGGAGCCGTTGACAATACTGTTAACCTAGCAACCAACAGTAAACAAGTCAAGCATAATGAAGACAGCTGATAAATGCATCAGAAATCACTAACTACTCGAGTTGGTACAACATTTGAATGTACTTCGCGGGCATTAGAAAAGTATGTTCAATATACAGGGCTTTACATTAACACCAAATGCGGGTAGATTTCAGCTTTGGCGGGTTAGACAGACAATCCCATTAGCCACTTTGGTTCGACAATATAAGGATGACCCAATACGCGTGCAAATGTGATCTTAGAATCGATAAGTAAAATAATTGTGATCACGCAAGCAGAAGAAAGCAAGTGAATACCGAATGAGAGAATGATAATGACTTAACGCGTGCACGCTCCCAAATCGTGAAGCAACCATGTCTGGAGCAGGTTCTGGAAACGCAACTGTCATCGGTTCTTTTTCAATAAACTAGACAAAAAGTGATGAACATGCATCCACAGTCCTGAAGCTTTTAAGAGGTCAAAATGTGTCTTTTTGTAAGCAGCACCGGTTGCTTTCACTTTGAACAGATTATTAAATTGCCTAAAGTTAACCGTGTGCATGTGATCATCCTTTCATTATCACACATGGTATGTTTCACCTGCTTTTATTTGTTTACGGTTTTATTTGCTTTAATTTTTGTTAAAATGGTTTAATTATCTTTTTTTATAATATTGCTTTAATGGGAGATGAACTCTCCATTTATGTGCAGTTAACTGGTGATCCAAGAGATCTTTAGCCAGGACAGATTTCTGTGCTTATCATGACAATCATTATTTTTTAAAAGTCAATTGCTTTTCTTTCTTTTTTACGAAAAGTTTTGTTAAATAAAAAGTATAGTATACAGCTATATTTTGCTTGTTTTGACACATTAAAAATTTGTGGCTAAGAAATAATTATTGTTTAGTATGGTTATAGAGATAAGTTTGGTAAATCGTTAATTTTGAGCTCTAAAAAGTCATGTGAAACACAAACTAATTGCAATATAACACTATGAAACCATGACTCCTTTGCTCATGCTCATTGCGCAAGCTCATACTCCACTCACAATAAGTGAGATGAATGAGGACGCATGTGGACATAACACAAAATTTAAATCAAGTAATTTTAGCATGTCAACGTCAAATTTATGCATATAAAATATATTTTCCCAACAACAAAATTGTGGCTAGTGAAAATACAGCATGGCAATTAACATTGGAAAACTACTAGCCACAGTGGCCGGTGACTAAATATATATATATTATAATTGTGCATAGAATCATAATCAGAGAATCTGCAGCAACAACAGAGCGAATGGCACAATTCCTCCTGGCAGCATGTTTTACACTGTGCCACTCTGGCATAACACCTCCTAACTTGTAAATAATTAATCACTATCAACATGTAGTAATGCTTAACAAAAAAACAGGAGGCATTAGGATAAATAATGATGCAGAATCAAGAATCGTGGTGGTAAAACACTACAAATCGTAGCTCTTGAAATCTTCAAGTAGTCATTCTCCATCCCGAATGTTTCTGTTACTCTTGAATCAACATAAGCCTGATGAAGCGTTTCAGAAATGTGAACTCTTGCCTCGCTCTACTGAGACTTGCAGGTGTACGCATCACAGCGCTGTTGTCATAGCGACTGCTGTTGAGCATCGATGCGTCATGTTATCGAACCGAGCTGACCTCAGAGTGCTGGGAAAAGGCAACTTAAGTGGAAATGACACACACTCTCTCTCTTCCATTGTTCAGATCAGTAGGGAAAAAAAAATTTTTTTTTTTTCTAGGTTTCCGGCACATATTAAGTCTCATTTTTCACTTTTATCACCTGAAATGAACCAACAACACAGAATCTGATATTTTAACAATGTCTATGGATTTGTTTGGAATGGTTCTCAGCATATTGATGAAAATGTCTACAGTATTAGAATAGATTCTCTCACCTGCAAAATTACAGTGCAGTCAAGAAAGACAATACTTGAAACACACATGCATTTGCAGTCAAATCAAACATGTAAAGGGCTGAGTGAGGTCATCAAAAATCCATATTCCACACTGGTGAAGCTTACAGACCAAGTTTTAAATGCATGTCTATTAAAAGTGAATTTTATCATTACTTTGACTCATACTAGACAACCTAAAGTCCAATATACTGACATATTGATAATAAAAGCCAAAAATAACAACAACAACAACAACAACTCAGTTTTGGTTTTCAAAACTATTCAATTTTTAACAGATTTTCACCTGATTTCATAGTTAGAATTATGGCAAGAGACAGAAGTAAATGCAGACTTGACTTAGATGTTTCTGCTACTACTCAAGTTTCTATGTTTTACTACATCCACACAGAGACAAAAATGTATAAAATTGTATGAGAAACTGCAATTCATCTATTGTCCACTAGAGGCTGGCTCCAAAAGAGAGTCAATCCTATAGACTCCTCATGTCAAAAGGCCCAAGTTTACAAAGTTTACTAAAAGGTTAAAAAAATGGCTTTGGTCTATAGAGCTAATATTGCCCTTCGTGACAAGTGTAAGGAAGTACTTTTTTAAAGATTTCATTTGTTTAATTTATATTAAGCTTTAAAAGTCTGCATAATGAAGGGCGTGGTCACTTGAGTGACGGGTATCTGCAAATTCTAGCCACTGAATTTATATTAATATATAATATTTCTGAATTTATATTACTTCTATATTATTGAACTTGTAGCATATATGTCACATTTGTGCTTTTGTTTTATGTGGTTTAACAAAGTTAATTGCTTTTTGGGCAAGTTTCTTACAATCATTAAAAATTATGGCATGCTGTGCTCTTGACTGTGCTCAGACCATTCAAATCTGGCCTTTATTTTTTAGGGGAAAGAAATTCGCTATTCTTATATAATTTTATTTATCAATTTATTTAAAAAATAAAATAAAGCTCACCTATGATGACAACTTTTGGAAGCTGTTTGGACAGAACTGTGTGCTGTGTGTAGGAATAATGTTTCCACAGTCAAATTGGGGTGATATAAACATAATACGTCTCTCTTTTTAAATTTTCTAACGTAAAAATAGGATTTAAAAATCCCTCCCATTTTGAGGCCCACAACAATGTGGCGTAGGAGTATGGTTTCCCCGCCCACCAAATCGATTGACAGCTGCGTATTAACATGTCTCCACAGTAATGTGTATAACCATATCCACAAGACAGGATGTCCTCAAAGCAACTGGGATTAAAAGTTCTGTTCAGCTCATTGTGATCATCATCAAATGTGATCAAGAATGAGTTTTACAAGTTTAAAATGTTTTTTAAAACAGTGTACGTTTGTAATGAAGAGAGTAAATTGTAATTCATCACCACAGCTGCAAATCAGTACAATTATAACAGTTATAATTATATAACTGAATTATACGATGCTTCATGGTTCATGGACTTAAATCAAGTTTACTTTGTACAGTACATTAACATAATGGATGTCCATACAGCAGTGGATATTAATGTGTATCCATTGTGTGTTACTCATTGTTGCAGAAAGGCTTAAAGTAACTCCACAACAAACATATCAAATAACCCTTGGGAAAGTTCTTACGTAAGGGAGATCTGCTTCATTCTTGTCTGTCACTGTGTTGTTTACCTGAGGTGAGACGCAACAGAAGAGGCTACAAGCATCAGCACACGCAATAGCTCTGACTCGAACATAGGAATGATGGGCAGTGATAACCAGCACATTTGCATTAAAGGCACAGGCAACAAATATTTTCTGTATATTTTGTATATTTCCAATATACAGAAAGGTAAAATAAATAATCTGATGGGTGTTTTGAGACTGAAACTTTACAAACACATTCCGGAGACACAAAGGACCTATCTTAAATTTTAAAAAACGCAATGCCTAGCTGTTACAAACATGGACTATATTTGTATTTGGCAGTATTTAGTACTGTTATTTTGTAGAATAATGCGTAATGTGGATTAATGCATTGCTATTGATGCGAATGCCTATGTTAGCAATAATAACGACATCTGCTTGTTGGATAGTTATGGCCACAGCAGAGCGAACACAACAGTTAAAAGCATACACTCAGAGGCCCCGTTTACACAAGTGCGTTTTAGTTTGAAAACGCATAAGTTTTGCTACGGTTACGCCATCCGTCCACACTACGCCGGAGTTCTCGAGCGCCGAAAACGGAGCTTTTTGAAAACGCTGGAGAGGCCATTTTCATTCTAAAACGCTGCTGCTCCGTCTCAGTGTGGATGGGGAAAGACGGAGACATCTGAAAACGGAGGCGGGGCTGCAAACGTTCGCCTATCTGATTGGGGCTTTTCCTCAATATTAAGTAGCCCACACACAGTTCAGTCTCGCATCCTCTTCTTATAAGTTCAGACTTAGCAAGTTTGATCAAGGCTGCAGTATTCCCCTTCTCAGTCTGATATGGAAAACATACTGAGGACACGGGTAAATCTTCAAAGGGAACAGTGTACTTTATAACTTCATTCACATCACCTTGGCTACGTTGTTTCCCTTTCTCAACAATAAAATGTAAACATGATTTAAGGAACTGCCTATTTTCTTTTTAATATTAGCAACTTAACTGACAGCAGAAATGTTGAGGCGTCGTGCTGCATATATGAGCGTCATCTTCACTGTGTGGATCTTTATAACAAAATGGAGCCGATAACAACTGCCTCCTTTCAATTTCAGTGAAAATACGAAACACACCCTCTCTTCTGCTGAATATCAGTTTTAATAATCGATAATTATAAAAGTATAACATACAATAAGTTTATATATTGTAGGAAATAAAGGCAAGCAATCAGTCAATGTACCTGGATTAATCATTAACTTATCTTTGCGCTTAACCAAAACATGTTACCCGTGAACAAGTAACTTAATAGATTCCAATGACCAAAGTCAGGGAATTGGCCTATGTCGTTAGATAAAGACAACAACATGAATGAAATATCACGTTTAGCAAATATAGTGAGATTAGATCCAGCTGGAGATGCTTGATGAGCAGTCCGACAAGCAGAGCTCTCATCTGGGTAGAAATGCTGGAGCGCTTGCCCGAGAGTGTGTGTGTGATCACGTGATGTGCGTTTTCAGCGTTTTGGTGTGGACGGAGAGCTGTTCAGAAACGATGGGTAAAACGCGAGTGTGGACGCGGATCGTTTTCATTCTACAACGCCGTTTTAAAACTAAAACGCACAAGTGTAAACGGGGCCAGAGTTTCTCTGCTCTTCTATGCTGCTCGGATACCAAAACTGCCTTCCATACCAAAATTTGAGGTTTGCGTGCCACTTCAGTGTGTAGCAATGATAACCACCTAGTCCCGATATGCCTACTGCATAAACGGTACTGGTCTATGCTCGCACTACAACAAGACAAATGTGTGAACAAGTATAAAGCTGTTTTGACACCTTCCTTGACCTATTTATGGAATTACGGTTGCATCCCTTCTCAACAACAGTGCTCATTTGTTCCTGGAAAAATACATGTACTGTACTGACTCCAAACACAGTGTTGTTTACAATACAGTACAGCCACATAGGTTAACATGAGTGAATATGAATAAACTGTGGACTAACCTGACTGCTTGGAGCTGAGCTCTGAGTACTGGCGGTCTTCAGATCATTAGGGTCTGTTAATACAGAAAAGGTGGCATTAGCATTCATCAATCATATTGTCAAAAGGGTTGTCAAAAGTATCGAGTTCTGTACCGTTCGATACTAAAACAAATTTTAAAAAACAATATCCGTTTCCTGCTAACATTTTAGAGCTGCTGTCTTGAATACCACTGATTGGTCATTGTGCTCAACAGATATGATTGTGATTGGCCATGAAGGTCATCGTTTACTACTCTTCATTGCTGTACACAAAGTACAAACACTGATACACCAACATTGGAGCATTTCAAATCTGCGTCAATCAGCTGATCAGTCTATTAGTTGACATATGAGCGACTGATCAACGTGTCACTGAAACGCTCCAGTGTTCATGTACAGCATCTATGTTTGCACATAGTGAACAGTGGTGAAGATTGGTAAACAATGACCTTCACACTTAATCACAGATATTGCCATATCAGCTTCTCTGACTATGTCATGGCAAAAAAAAAAAAACAAAAAAAAAAAACAGTATATAACATTTTATAAATATAAATTTTCTAATTCTAAAAATAAATTAACAATAAAAAGGCATCAACATCAATAAATAACACATAAGATAACATACAGAAATAATAATAAAATAAAAATTGAAACAGTTTTTTTGTTTACTTTTGATCAAAATTACACAATTCTGGAAGGATTTATGTATGTTGAGCACATGAACACAATGGCCAGTCAGTGCTGTTACAACAGCACTTAAATGCTAGCAGGAAATGGGAGCTTGTTTTTTTTTTTTTTTTTAATGTCAGTACCGATTGGTAACGAACTTGATACTTCTGACAACCCTATTAGCTATTGCTTTGTCACAATTCTTCACCTATAGGGACATGCACAAATGCAAGAGGAAGACATCAAATTCACTTACGCTCTATTAGAAAGAAGAAGCAGATGACACCCATGGCAGCAATGATCACTCCAGGAACGATGAAGGACAAACCCCAATTAGAGGACACGTAATATCCAGCAATCAAAGAACCCAGAATGTTGCCCACCGATGTATGAGAGTTCCACAAACCCATGATGAGGCCTCTCCTTTTAACAGCAAATTTTTATTAAGTTTAATCTTAATCTTATGACTAAAAAGGGATTAAGAACAGAAAAGAAATTCTGTTCACTCAGCTACCATATTCACTACCCCCCTCAGGCAGCTCATTCAAGACCAACGTCCTATCTAAACGAATGGGGGAATAATGAAATCACCGGACTTTCAATGAAATCACACATTTCAAAATTAACAACAAAATCTGAACTAAGCTGTCCCATTATTATTGTTGACAAATCCAAAATTACATATAAAACATGTAATTAACAGTTTGCTTCAGCTACTTGCTCCAAAGTTGCTAGTTTACTTCAGTTACATACTCAAAAGTAAACCACGGTGAGTGTTGTGGGAATTTTACATTATAGGACTATTAGTTGTATTAGTTTAGAAGTGTATTGTGTGCTGTCCAACTTAAAGTTTATAAACACCACTGGCATACAGTATTAATAAACAGGAAATGGTCTGAGGTGAAAAATCACCCGCAGTGACTGACAGCTAAAACTGACAGTCTTTGCTAAAAAATATATCTGTTTTGCGCTGTCTCAGAAGTGCATTTGAAATGTGCTTTGGATTTATTTAAAACTACTCTTGGCATGTCTTCCCCTGCACATTGACACTTTTTGGATGTTTAACCAGGTGCGCAGCTAATAAGAGTTGGAGAAAGTTACATTTGAAAGTTATGCATTTCAATATTGAGTTACTGCCCAAAAAGTAACTAGTTGCGTTACTTAATTACTTGCCATAAAAAAAGTATGTAAGGGTGTCACGATCCTCCAAATCCTCGATTTGATTACATTTTCGATTCTAAAGTCACGATTCTATTTGATTTTCGATTATGAATAATTAATTAATTAATAACAAATTAATTATTAGTAGCCTACCGTTTAAACTACCTGACTTGCATGGTCTTTGTTTTACCCATAAACAAATCATACAGTAAATAAATAAAGGTAAGTTACACACATAATTACCACCTGTCAATCACTTTTTTCTGTGGGACTCATGAATAGGCAGTGATCTGTGTCGTTATAATGGCGTCGGTAAAAAAGGTGCACAACCAACAGAAACCAGCCAACAGTATCTGAGGTGTTCGCTAAAATGACTAAGTACTTGTGTGAAAGTAAAAGATGGAAGCAGTCTACTGACCCGCTGACTGCCTTGACCCGCTGACCGCGCATGACAATGTGTGTGCGTCTGTATCTGTGTGTGAATGAGTGTGTGTGGTCACGTGATGTGCGTTTTCAGCGGTAGTGAGGAAGGAGGGCTGCTCAGAAATGCTACACGCCAGTGTGGATGTGGATTGTTGTCGTTCTAAAATGCCATTTAAAAACAAAGACATATTAGTGTAAACAGGGCCTGAGTGTGTATTTTTCGCGAGCGGATTTGTAACGGGTGCAGGGCGGAGGATCGCGATGCGTCCATCGTCTATCATCCCAACCGTAATACGTACATAGCAGAGCTTGCAAACTGTGTTTTTTTTGTCGACAACACGAACGTTGTCAACATAACTCCAACAGGAAATCAAAAATACTTCCACACCGGCGACTTCATTGAAAGAGGAGAGGATTTAAACTCTGTCGACGGGTCTCCTGCGTCTGCAGTTTAACAAGCACTTTAACAAGCATGTTTTTTTCCCACTTGGCAAGCCAAGCTAACGTGACATGAGGGCGTGGCAGCATCGACGATTTTATTTTTTGATTCGATAATCGAAGTTGAGCATAAATTTCGATCGATTTCGAATAAAAATTGAAATCGTGACACCCCTACAAGTAATGCATTAAGTTACTTTTGTGTTACTTTTTATTACCTGGCTTAGGTTTGATTTCTTTCAGAACTTGCTTTTTTTTTTTCTATTTGAATAGAAGAGCTCTACAATTACCAACACCCTGTATAACCTTTATTTACCTAAAAAAACTAATTTAAAAATATTTTAGGACAATGTAATCTGAGAACTTCATGAGACCAGAGCTGTATACCGTATATACAGATTATTAAAAGTTTAAGGCAATGTGTTTGCTACTTTTGTACTATTCTCATAAGTAAAACTTTTTTTTAAAGACTAAACTAAACATTTTCCTTTTCTTCAACGAATTCAGCAATTTATTTTTTAAAAGCTAACTAATTAAACTAAAAAAGTAACTTGCATTACATTAAAAAAGAAGTAACTTAAATATTATTATTATTTTTTTTTTAAAGTAATGCGCTACTTTACTCGTTACATAGACAAGTAATATTACTATGTAACTTGCGTTACTTGTAATGCGTAACCCACAACACTGCAGCTAATGATCGCACATGTCCTGTTGGGTAGATGGTGTAGGTAAAAACTCTCCCTGTCCAACTATTTTATTTTTGCCTTTATTAGTTGACGAAAATGTAAGTACATTTTCATCAAAGCTTTTCTCATTTAAAAGTGATTCTCATTCAGTATTTCTTTTGTATTATTGTGCAAAAATGTTGTTGACAAAAAAATTTCACACACGAAATTTGCACTTATCTTTAGTGAGATTTACTGAATAATAATGTTAGTAGAAAATATAATGCTGCTCACCTGCCCTTGCCAAACCAGTTACCAATGCAAGTCACCACACTAGGCCAACCAGTGGTCTGAACCAAACCATTGGCAACCTACAGATCAAAATCACCATATTCAATTAATTTATGAATAATTATGTGACGCTAATAAATTAACACACGTCAATGTTTTCACAGTATATATATATTTTAAAATTTAATAGACTTACGTATGGCACTCACCTGAACAAATATATAAAAGCCAAGGCTGTGAATGTCATAAATATATCCCAGTCCAAACAGGCAGGTAAAAAGACCACTGGTCAACATGCCCACAGTCAGGTAAAGCCGAATGGGCAAGCGCTCTCCGATTATTCCACTAAAAAAGATAGCAACAAAACATAAACAAACTGCTGTCAGGGGCCTGTACAAACACGGCAGATTCCCTGGTTTTATTGCTCTTTTTACCCATGGAATCGTACTAGAAAAAAAAATTTAGAGATGAAATTAATTATAATTATTTTAGATTATTTATATACTTATATTTGTAATAAGCAATTTTACAATAAATCACCATTTTTTGAGTCATCATATGTAAAAATAAATCTTTTGAAAAACTACATAGAACTTATCATATATTTTAACATTATAACATAGAGAACATATCACCATTTCACATAATATATAGCACCTCAATATCTAACATATTATCCACTATGTAAAATGTTTAAACTTTAAATCTTTTGAATTGGTCTGACTCATAAGTGAAATGTCAAACACATCACTTTTTCATAGTCTGTGATTGGCTGTTTGCTGCTGATGTCCCGCCTTCATCTGTGTACGCTCATAGATTTAGGTTCAGAGAAAGTTAATGATCAGCTTCATGGTACCAACAAAGCCTGAGTGCACTGGTTTAGTTTTGTCAACTCTAAACTAATCCAGAGTTTGTTCAGCCATCAGTGCTGACCCAACAGGCCACTGGTGAGCTTATAAGAAGACCAAAAGGCAAGCATCTTTACATTTAAACGGTAACACTTTAGAATAACTATCCATCATAACAAGTAAATAGATCATTACTTAACTTTTAGTTAATGTGTTCTAAATAAGTTGTTAAATAAAAATTAATAGTTTGTTAATTATTTATAACTGTGCCTTATAGATAGCCAATAGATAACTTACAAGCTGTTAGTTAACAAGTTCTAATGACTTGTTACTTTATTTTAATGATTTATAACTATACCTATTAAATTAGTAAAAGATCATGAACAAGATTTTAGTAAATTATTTAATAAAGGCTTGATAAGTATCAGTTAATAGTTTATATATGTTATGGGGACAATATTCTAAAGCTGCAACTATTCTTCATTTATTAACTGTTAGTAAATGAGGAACAGTTGCAACTTAAGAATAACTTCAACATAACAAAATACATAAGCTATTAACCAACACTTAACTAATATATTAACTCACTTTACAGATCAGTTGTTCATAGTTTGTTAACCATCTAC